CTCCCTGCCTGCCTGCCTCCTGCCCCCTGCCCGCCCACCCCAAGTGGAGGCAAATATAGTAGATCCCGGGCCATGTAGTCCCAAATCCTCCCCCATTCCAGGTTCCCCTCAAGGGCCACCACGCACCAGAGTGCCCCCCAGTCGACTTTTTCTAATTGCAGGGGAAAATAAGAGCACACAGGCATGAAAACAGGGGGAAAACTGTAGCTATCCTTTTTCAACAAAGGAGTAATAGTAATAACAATGTGTAGAAGTACGCATTACCATTTTCATTCTTTAATACTGTGCTTAAATCTCAATGAAAAGAAGTAGCTTCAGCTTCTAGGCTGGCCGCTTACCCACGCTCCAGTGTCTGTGATTCTACAGTCTTTTTATTCCTCCTTTCCTGTATACAGGACTGACATACTTACCTCACTTGATACGCGCTCATCTTGCAAAACGGCAAGTGATTTTTATCCCATATTTTTAAACTGTAATTCCCCTTAAGAGGCTTTAGAAATTTAGATAACTTACTATGATCATGAAATATTGTTTGTTTTCAGGAATGCAGTATTTTCTGAATGGCCAAACCAAACTAGTAATAAACCCCGATACTAAGCTTTAAATGCCTTACTACGTACTGAAAAGAGAGAAGAAAAATACCACTGATCTCAAGAATGACAAAATTTATTTTTTGGTTTCCACAACTACACACTTTCCTTACTGTGAATTGCATTAACTGTATATAATTTGCTCTTTACGGATTGGTTGCTCAAGTAATTTTGTTGAATGAAAAGTATCTTTGGATGATGTAAACAGGTTAGTGTTACAAAGTAGTCTGGCAAGGTTCAAGAGCTGAAGATGCCATGGGCTTCACTGCATGCAAGATCAAGTTGTCACTTGTACAAGGAAACTGGGTTTGGATACTATAAAACATATCAAAAAGGCAGCAATCCATTCACCGTTGAGGGGAATATATGAACTGAAGCAACAGCAGCTCAAAAGGGAAATTAATAGATCTGAAAGGTAAAACTCTTTTTTTTTAGCAGGGGAATGAATCCTTACATCTACCTGGAGAACAAACGCCATCAAGAGAACAGCAGTACTGGCTTTCTTCCCATGCTGCGACACTGTGCTTTTACAGCCTTGACCTCAAGAAGCTATCCTACAGATGGTATGGAGGTCTTTGCTCATCATCCGGCTGGCAAAGCCTACAGAAATCCTGTTGGATAGGTTTCCATCACACCTGACCTGGAGTGAGCATGTTTTGATCTCATGACCCAGGGGTGTGAAGTATCCCTTGAGCTATTCTGTCTCCTGATGACTGTTATTCATACTGCAAACCTTTTTCTCAGAAGGTTAATTTCATATATAGATCAAATATATAGATGAAATGGGCACCAGACGGCTGTACAGCACACAGCACCTACTGATGCTGGAGCTGAGGCAGCTCTGCACTGCCTTGGGAAAGAAGAGCTTGCTGAGGGAGTACCCCATCCACTTGACTGAGAGGCCTTTGTGGTGGTGACTGTCCTTGCATAGTGTTCACTGGCACAATAAAATGCCAGGGGAACAGAAGCCCACAGCTTTGTGTTTGCAACTGTCCAGACATCCATCAGAGATCATCATCTCCTTTGACTGCAGTGAAACTTTGCAGAGATCTTCCGCTTAAGGTCCAGCCCTGAAACCTCTCAGAGGGACTGGAGGGATATACTCCAGCACAAGGACACCAGCTTTCTCTTGATATTAAATACCAAGATTGGACACCCCTAAGAGCACCAAGGTCCTGAAGACATCAGTGAGCCTTAATGGACTTCACCAGTCTTGTCTGGGGCCTCCATCGCTTACGCCCACCCCTGGGCACTGTAGGAAGCTCAGCCCTGGGCTAGTCCCTCCTGCCGTGACTCAGCCACAGCCATGCCTTCACGTGGACAAAGATGTGGTGAGCCAGACTGTGACCCGGGGGCTTCTGGCCTATGCCCGTCACCATGGGATCTGCCTGTCAGTCACTGGCTTGGTGCTGACTGTGAGCAGCAGGCTGACTTCCTGTCTTCACCTCAGACCTGACTCATCACCGCCACACCTCCTCACGATCTGGGTTGTAACTTTGGCCTGTCCTACCTCCCAGCTCCCCAATAACATAGCTGCAAGGTGTCTTCAACCAGTGCATTGGGTTCTAGCAGAAAAGTGGGTCTCTCAAATGTTTAGGGCAGTAGCTGAGGCATAGACAAAGTGGTTTCAATTCCACAGACTTTCTCTGACACCGCAAACAAGCAGTTCCTCCAGCCACGACTACACACAGCTATTGGTACAGTAGCCATTGGTCAGGCTGCAAAGAAAATTGAAACCTTGGCACTGTGCCGGACTTGGCTCTGTTCATCTTTTTTTGCTCCACCATGTCCAAGCAGATCGAATTGTCACTGTCACAGGTGGTGCCAAAGTCCTTTCAGGAGGGACATGGGGCGGATTTGTCTGCACACTATTGGTTAGCGACCAGATATGCAGGTCTAGCTGTGTGAATCACATTGCTTTGCAACCATCCACAGTAGTAAAGATGCCATTAGGCCTGCATAAAACCATAGCCTGGGGCCCGAGCTTTTTTTCTTCCTGCCATGCCCAAGTCCACATCTAAATCCAGGTATGCCTCCAGAAGCTACAAGTGCAGCAGGAGTGTGAATTCAGGCCAGTGTCTGAAATACAGCACAGACACAACCTGTGCTTCTGTCCCACACCTGCAGATCAAGGCTAATCACAGGAGAGTTTGCAAGATAGAGAAAGACTGTGCAACAGAGCTATACGAGGCGGGGGAAAAAAGATCCAGCTAGAATATGTATTTTTTCCCATTTGTTCTGCATGGTTATACTGAGTTTCTTATTTTAAATATTTACTTATTAAAGGGAATTTTAGTAAGAAAGTAGTTGTCTCTGCTAACCTTACTTTGCTGTGTGATCATGCTAACATGACAATTTGCATTCCCCTTTATTTGGATGTGTTGTGTCCACTAGTAAGAGCGTATCTTGGAATCTGTGACATTTAAAACTGGTCATGGAACATTACTCTGCTGTAAGGTTATAATTAGGGTTTCTAAAATTTTCTCTTCTACCAAAGCTTTAAAATAGATGGGAAAAGATCTATTTCAGTGATGCTTCTGAAAGTCAGTAAGAACGTGTCCTTGTCTTTTCTACCACAGTTTCCTTATTTCCAGATCTTCGTGAGCTGAAGGGGGCCTACAGGAAAGCTGTGGAAGGACATTTTACAAGGGCATGTAGTGATAGGATGAGGGGTAATGGCTTCAAACTGGAAGAGGGTAGATTTAGATTAGATATTAGGAAGAAGTTTTTCACTCTGAGGGTGATAAGGCACTGGAACAGGTTGCCCAGAGAAGTTGTGGAAGCTCCATCCCTGGAGGTGTTCAAGGCCAGGCTTTGAGCAACCTGGTCTAGTGGGAGGTGTCCCTGTCTATGGCAGGGGGGTTGGAACAACAGACTTGGCATATGTAGGTCCAAGCAACAGTGTAATGGGCAACAGTATACTATTTGACTTCAATCAATAATGATTTAATACAAGAAGTGATCAGGAGATCAGTGAGATCTGAGGCTGAAAAGGGAGCTGCAGTCTGCACTCTGGCTTGTCCTTCTTTCCATGCTCTCCAAATGCTGATAACCAGGGACCTGAACTTGTTCTCTCTAACCACACACCTTAGAAAGTAATCACCACCCTGGAAGAAACATACATTCCCAGATGTAAAGTAACTAATATACAGGTCC